CGGCTCCTCTTTAAGGGGCCGCCTGACGTCAGGCGAGCCGGGGCCGCCCCCGCCGCTCGCGGTCGCCGCGGCGCAGGGCTGAGCCCCCGCACAGCGCGGCGGCGGGAAGGGCGACGGCGCCTCTGCGCAGGGGCAGAGTGCCCCGCTGCCTCCCAGGCGGGCCCCCGCGGAGGCTTCTGCCTCCCACGCTTCCCGAGTCCTGCGGCGCTTCCAGCGTGGCGCCCAAAGGCTGCCCTGCCTGGCGCAGTGCCGGACGGGGGGAAGCGGGCCGCGGGAGCAGAATTTCCCGCGACGGTTGTCCCCTTCCCAGACGCGACGCCTCTCCCCGATCGCGGGGGGGGGGGTGCTCCCGCCAGAGGCCGGATGCGACCGAGGCGCGTCTTGCTCCCTCCCAGGACTGCCCGAGAGCTTCCGCGCCCCGGACGCCCTAGTCCGCGCGGCCCTCCGGGGCAGACGGGCGAGGAAGGGGCGCGGCGCTGATGTCCCCCGCGGTGCCCGCGCGTGTACCGGAGGCCTCGAGCCGTCCAGGCAGGGCTCGCCCGCCCTCCTGCCCCCTCCCTCCCGGAGTCCCGGCGACGCCTGGCGCGGAGTCTTTGCCGGAGCTGCTTTGCCTGGGCCGGCCCGGTCCCCGCTCGGAGGGCCGCCGGCGCGGGCAGAGAACCTGAACGGAACGGGCGGCAGGGAGCGGGAGTGATGGCGTGTCCCTTCCCTGGCCAGCGTGCGAAGAGCCGTCCTCCCGCGAGGGCCCCAGAGAGCTCCGGAGCATCTCAGGGCTTCTCCCATGCGCGCGCGCGCGTGTGTGTGCGTGCGCGCGCGCCTGCACACGCGTGTCTTCCGCGGGATGGGCTGAGCCGGTAGAGTCGAGGAGGCGAGCCCGCGGCCCTTCCAGGACTTCCCGGTCGGACTCTCGAGAGGAAGAGACGCGGGACAGGGCGGCGGGCGGGAGCCGGGGCAGCGTGCCCGCGCCGCTCCCCGCTCGCTCCATGCCCGGGGGAGCAGGGTGGCCACGCGGCGTTCCTGGCCCCTGGCTGGCCGCCGCTCCTGCCTGCCTTCCCTTCCCTTCGGCAGGTTCTCCCCTCCCTCGGGGCACAAGCCTGGCGTCCTTCCCGCCCCGCTCCGGGCCAAGTCGCCCTGCGGGAGGCGGCGGGGCGGGCAAGGGCCCCTCCCGGGGGAGCTCGCATCCCCGCGCGGGGGACCCCGCGGCTCCCGGGTCTCGCTCCTGCAGGAGTTCACGGCGGAGCACCCCGAGCAGCGCGAACGAGGGGCGGGCGCGCTCGGTTCCTTCGCCGGCCGTCCGGGCTCTCCCCCCGCTCAGGCGTCCCCGCCGAGGGGCACGCAGCTCCTGGCACCCCGCTCTGAGGCCCGAACCGGGAAGCAGCCCAAGGTCACGCCGCCCGAAAGGCACGCGAGCCGCAGCTGCCGCTTTCCCGCAGCCCCAGAGCTGCGCCCTGCCAGCCCGCCCTGCCCTGCTTCCGAGAGGGGGGCCTTCCTCCCAGCGCTCGCTGGCACTGAGTGGATCCCGTTGGCTGTTTAGGGCTAAAGTCTGAGGTTATGGCAATAGCGTTAGATGAACAAACTGCCTACACGTTTGCATATTGGAATTTTAGATCGTATTTTCATTGCAACTATGTATGTATGTGTTTCTCGATTGCATTTCTTCTTTGTATTTTTGAGAAATTGCTGTGGCTCGCCTAAAGAGGTTGGCTGCTGGGATAGAAATAATATGAATTACAAAAGCAGACTAGGTGCCACGATGCCAAGTGATGGGAGTGCTCATCTCTGTCCTGCGAGAGCCGTGAGGGCCCCGCTGCCTGCCCTGGCCGGGAGAGTGTTGGCTGCCATCTTGCAGACGATCGGCAGGTCGCTGATGGCGCAAGGTGGGCGGGACAGGCCAAAGCCACGTGCCGGGCTGGACGCGGTGCCAGGTGCTCCTCGGCAGAGGTGGCAGTGCAGCTCGTCACAGCCCAGAGCTCAGTCTGGTGTGCACGTCCGGTTCGAGCGCGCCACTGCTACCTGCTGCTGTTGTGCACTAGAGAGTGTTGTGCAAGCAGCACAGGTCAGACTAGAAGAGGGGGCAGCTCCCTCCCTGTTCTTGGGCAGAACCACCCGCTCAGGCCCTGCCTTCGGCCTCCCGATCTTGGCCATGCTGAAGCGCAGGCAGAGAAGAACCCTGCTGCCACGCAGCTTTTACGGGCTATGAGAAATGCTGGATGGCTCATGCAAGTGAGCCAATCTTGCTTTCTTTCTGAGGTCAGAGGCAATGAAACCAATTCAGGCTGCCAAGACAAGCTGTTGTGGACTGAATTTTTCATTTCTTGTCCTTTCCCTTGACCTGCCCAAGGATGTTTAGGAAATGTGAAGTTATGCAGAATGAGATAGTGCTTTCATAAAGCTCAATGGTTTCTCCCCCACCGCCATGTAATCACTTTGAGCACAGCCCTGAAATGAAAGGGATAAAGTTGTTTATGTTGGGAGAGGGAGGGGGAAGGGCTTTAGTCTCGGTGAGTCGATTACAGAGATTACTGCTAGCTAATCCTCCCGTATCTGTCACTGATGCGATAAAGACCCTAACAAGACCAGTGGAAAATTCTCTGTGCATTGGCCAGTCCGAGGGGCTGGTGCAGTTGCGACTGGAAGGGGCAGTGGCCTCCGTCACAGATGGCAGCAAATGCCTTCAGTGTCATGCCTGCAGCACGTTTAGGTGGAGCTACGTGGTCCCCAGACCAGTGGCACCCTTGCAGAGCGGTGGAGAAGTTCCAGAAAGGATCCACGAGTGGCTGCAGACGGCATCTCCAGCCAAAAGGATCAGGCGGCCGTGAGGGGGAAGGACCCACAGGCACACTGGACTGGCGCTGGTGGTTTTGATGGCCACGAACCCTCCTTGGTGGGCAGGTGGAGTCGTCTACCTGGCCCAGGCGAAGGGGGTCCCTCCTGCCCTGCCAGTCCTTCTCTCACCTGGGGCACAGTGCCCAGGACATGGGGAGGCAGTGCAGGAGAAGTCCCCCGCTTCCAGAGTAAAATGGCCCTGCCTTTCCTGCAAGGGGAGGGGGGGCAGAGAACGGCAGGGACATGCACCAGACAGGTTTTCTTACCTGGGCCGACAGAGGTGCATGTGGTGGCAATGGCAGTGGCCGCAGTGGGAAGCAGGGAAACCTTGATTGTGCATCTGGCACTATTGCAGAATAGTTTGTGTTTGCAAATATGTGTGAGCAAAATTCTACGTGGGTGTGAAAATGAGTGAAAACTTTGCTAATATGCTAATATGTTGGCCACATTTGTGAACATGGGGCATGACATGCCCCATGGGCTTCTATCGGCTGAGGCGCCCCAGAATGCTGGCCTGCCTCACCCGGAGTGGCCCCCTCCAAGCCTCGGAGAAGGCGCCCCCCTCATCTCAGGGGCTGGCACTGAGGGGCTGGCCCGTGGCCCTGGCTCTTTCTGCTTATCGAATTGAGGGAGAGGAATAAAATCAACAGTGGGAGGCACATCCCAGCCAAGGGAAGCAGCGACTCTTTGGCACTTCCTACCTGCTAATTGAAATGCAGCGCTTGATGGTATCCTGCTTCCCAGCCAGGAGCTGCAAAGGATCCCGAAGCAGAAGGATCTGCTAATCACACCTTGATTGCTTTCATGGTGCTCATTAGGATGGTTCTACAGCCCACTTTGTGCTTTGAGTCGGGGGAATGGATTTCAGCTTCAACCAGTTTTGTCTTTCTTTCCCAGCAAGCTTAGAGCAAGTGAAGTGGGGGGCGGAGGGGGCTCCTACAGCTGTGGAGGGGTGGCTGTGGAATGCCTGGGGGCCATGCATGCCCTCAGGGCTCCTGAGGGCCACAGCCTCTCCCAGGCAGGCACAGGGGCTTTGCAAGATGGGGCAGGGGCCCAACCTGGCCTGTCCCTCACCAGGCTGCCTGGGAAGGTGGCTTTTCTCTGCACAGCGGTGCAGCCTTTCCCCCGGCAGCAAGAGGCAGCCAGCCCTGCACGGTCCTTTGCACAGGAGGCATCAGAGGGCTGCAGGGGGAAAAAAGCGGAGAGGGTCACACGGGGCTATGAGGGAAATCTCACAGCTGGGAAAGGCTTTGTTAGGGCCAGTACCTAAACTGCCAGGTTGGTCAATCGTCTGTGGTGTCAGCGAGGGGGCCGAGGCGGAGGAAGGCCATCCGGGGGCTTTGAGGCGAGAGCTGAGCCGCGGCGCAGAGCATGGCCAGGAGACGCCGTCAGGCTGCCCTCTGCGCCCCGGCTGCCGCCATGGCTGGAGTGCCCCCTGCTCCCGGGACACCCACTGGCTCTGGGGGCAGCAAGAGCAGCTGCGGGCGGGGGGCGGGCGGGCTGAGTCAGGGCCACAAATCCTGCTCCGGCGGGGGGGGGGGCTGGGTCTTGCCTTGGGCAGCCGGGGGGGCTGGACCCTGTGCCGCTCGCTGGGCCGTCGTGCTTGCAGGAAGCCCTGCCCGCCCTGCCGTTTGCTTCCTGCGTCACGTGCCAAGCCGCAGCCGTGAAGGCATTCCTCCTGAGAAGCAGCTTCAGGCCTGGAAGAGCCCTTTGGTCGAACCCGCCTCCTTTCCGAAGCAGGCTTGAAAAGAGAACAAAGCAGCTTCAGGACGCGCCCAGTCGAAGGCTGCGCACAGGCCGGCCGAGCTTCTGATTACTGGTGGCCCAGTGCTGAACTGGGATGGTGCGAGGAGTGGGGGGCATGGGGTTTAAGCGAATCCACTTGGGGTGGCACACAAAGCCGGGATGTGCCTCCTGTCCCCCTGAGGCCTATTCCCCTTCTCCCCGTGTCTGTTTCCTGCCGGCCTCAGAATGCTGGAGCTGGCCCAGCCTGAGACTGCTGCCCCCAGTGTGCTCGGAGCAGAGAGCCCTTCTTTGCCCTGCTGGAGGAGCCTGGGCCCAGAGGCTCAGCTCTGGCGCAGCTGGGTCCCCCCACAATGGGGCGTGGTGGCAAAGCCCCAGAGCTCCCTGGTGGCCCCGAGTGCTGCTGCCAAAGCCACTTTCGCAGGGCATCGCAGGCCCCGTGGCAGGAGCAGCCCTGTGCCCTGGGAGAGGCAAACCACCTGCTCGGCTGTTGTATTTCTGGAATTGATTAAATGCCCACAGAATGAATTTCTTTAGACCTTTTGCAGCAACAACAGTAATGCTGCAAATAAAATCACAGTAAAGCTAACGACAGCCTCCCAGTAAAATGTGCCAACACAGCATGAAATACAGTATGAGGTACCGGAGGTAAAGCTACCTTGACGACACTGGGAAATGAAGCAGGAAGGCATTCAGCAGGCCTTCCAAGGTTCTGCTCTCTTCCTGGGAAATTGGAGCAAGGGGCAGAGGCCGTGTGGGCGCTGGGTGAGATTCCCTGGGAAGGAGTCCCAGGCACGGTGGGGCTGCTTTGGCAGCAGGAGCTGCTCGGCTGTGGACCTTCTCCCCTTTGCTTCCCAGGCAACCGCGTCCTGGCAGGGGAACAGGCCCCAGAGCACCTCTTCTTTGGTGCTGGCTGCACGTTCCCTGGTGTCTGGAATGGACTCGGGAGCCTGTACTGAAGCCAGAGCTGCCTGAGGCGGGTCTTGGGGAGAGCAAGGAGGAGCAGAGGTGCCCAGGGTTGGGTGGCCACTGCGGACCCTGCTCACTTGCAGAGGCGCTCACTCCAGTGCCTGCCTCTGTCTACATTGATTTGTTCTGAGTTCTTTGATTAATTACACTCCAAGAAATTTCAGCTCTATTAATTACCTTTGCTTAATTAGGACAAACTTTTAACTGTGTCCCAAAGCTGAGCAGAGTTCAATATACTGCCTAATTAGTGATCCACAGTTGGCTTGAAACCCAATTACTTTTGTGCAGTGCATGGTGGAAGCGTTCCTTGTTGCTTGGCTGGCGGCACTGGCTTGTGGGGTGAAGGCTGGAGGGAAATGGGGTGGAGCTGGGAGGTTCTGGACTGCTGCAAGACAAGCTGGCAGGGGGTGCCTTGGCCCATAATCCAGCCAGACCAGGTCTCCAGAG